TAGACCAATGTTAACTAATATAGAGGACAGAAACGAAAAGTCATTATTTCATTGCAATAACTAAATCAGGGAAGGATCACCAAATGAATGCCAAAACAGTTAGTTAAAAAGTTGTTGGTGAACAGAATATTCACACAGTGCTAAAGTATTGCCCTGGAGATTATTTACAAAATGCAAAGCTAACAGTGCATCCTGAGAGAGGAGAGCTCTGGCAGCTCCCTCTTTAATAGAAGATTGAACTTGGACTTGGCTTCACTAATAGACAACTAGAAGGGCTGTATCTCCTGATGTAATGCAATGGGAGGGATCTAATACCACGAATGAGGCATTCTTGCCATACACACACACACACACACACAGTCTAATCAAGAGTCTAATCGAATGCTCCCAACCCAATTTCCAGTTTCCAGGAGATGTAGGAGGGACCAGTTAAAGCACAACACAAGGAAACAGGCAAATCCAGTATGTGGGATATTTTACAAAACAACTGAGTAGATTCTTCCAGAAGTCAATTTCTTAAAAATGAAAGAGAAGAGAAGAAAAAGAAAAGAATGGGAGGGGCCAGGAGGACACAGAGGAACTGATCTAGACAAAAAGTGAGTCAAAAGATAACCAAATGTAATACACAAGCCCTGGCACTTTTGAGGATATCTGAATACAGACTGAACAAAGGCGAAATTCTGTAAGCATTAATTAATTCTTTTAAGATGGTATTATGATTATGTGGAAGACCGTATTTTAAGAGAAGCACACTCCTACAAGTGCAGGGTCATGATGGTGCTACAACAATACACATACGACATATACACAAAATGTTAGCAGCTGTTGAATCTAAGCAAAGGATAGAGCATGTTCATTCCTTCAACAGTTCTGTAATTATGAACATTTTCATAGTAAGAAATTTGGGGGAAATTATTAAAATGGAAACATTAAATATAATTCTCAGAGATAAATCTTACTCTGAGAGCTTTTGGACCCCAAGTTGAGAATTATTCATCCGGCTAATTGACCTTCCTACCTTCTAGAGCATTAACTCAAAGTAATGGGATATCCCAAAACTGTAAGAAACAAACTATTAGCCCCTCACATTAAGACACAAGGACTAAAAGGAAGGAGCTTATGAAGAATTCAAACAATCACTTCAAGTTTCCCTGAGAACACATCAAAAACATACATACACACGACTGCACGTCCAACTGGGGAAATCTGAACAAGCCCTATGGACTGTATCAGCGCCAAGCGTCAGTGGCCTGCCCTGTTCTGAATCCAGGCTGGCAGATGTTGCATAATGGTATGGGCTCCTTTGCTGTAACTGAACATCGGAGTACGGATCAAAACCTTCACTTGTAAGAGCAACTGTTTTCCTTGCCTGATCTTGGGCAAAGGCCTCAGTTATGAAGATGTTACCACTGCAGAAAACTGGGTGCTGGTACATGAGACCCCACCCCCCATATAATTCTCTACAAATTCTTTGAATCTATAATTATTTCAAAAACAAAAGCACCACATTATAGATCTCATGTCCTGGTTTTCTCCAGTTTGAACATATCCTTAACCTGCTCCTTACCCCTCCCCACAACCAATCTGATAAATGACAAGCTTTCTTTAAAAAGAGCTCTTCACAATCCTAAAGATAGTCAATTCTTAAAATTGTGAAAGTCGGAGAAGATATACAGAGATCTCTACATCTCTTGCAAATAAACGCCTCCAGTATAGACTCCCCACTTCGCTACGTAGTACTTTTACTTCACGCAGGGTGAAATACGAATTTTCAGCTGGCTCCGTTTTCCAGGATCACAAAATCATGTAGAGAAGTGATGAGGACTCAGTGCAGCCAGCCTACAGCACATTCATTCAGGGATGCCAACAGCTGACAGGTGAGGAGAAGAGCAGCCACACCATTTACCTCCCCATGTCTGCTGCTTTTCTGGCCTTCTAAGCCTGAGAAATAACTAGTAGGCTGGTAACTGCCTCTCAATTTCACCTGAGGAAGAGGCTCAAGAGTCAGGACACGTCCATGATTCCCCCCCCCCCCCCCGGAATAAGCATTCATACTTTTTGTTCCTGAGAAGAAACTGAGTAGAATTCAGGAACTATACAGAATCCTCCTCTCATCAACAGGACCACTCCAACAGCCTCTTCTGCTGGAGCTGAAACCAGAAACATCACCTACAATTTTCCCCTCATGCCAGACTGCTCCCAAATCCCCCTCAGGGCAATGCCTAAAACTTGACAAGAGCAGGGAGATCCTTGATGTGAGGGGTGGCAAGGGAATGTTTCCCAGGGTGCCAGCTGCCTGATACCCTCTTTCCATAATTGACACTTGCTCTGAGCCCTGACCGTGCCCCAAGCTGTTGCACAGAGGTCACTCTATAGAGAGGTCACTGTATGAAAACAGCACACAAGAAACATTATTGAGAGGCCAAATGGTAAACGGCTGATTGGGTTTGTGTTTGTTCTGAAGACTCACCATCTGGCTATCATTTTACCTGAACACATGGGCTTTGCATAATTATTTTTAAAGGAGTCCTGAAAATGCATTTGTCCAACAGTGCCTGATTTTGCAGGCAAGGAAATACCTTTTGTATACAACTCAACAAAGTGGAATGCAAAAGCATCTATCACACGCATAGATATGTATTTCATAGCTATGCTCATATATGACTAGTATATAAACCAAAACACCAACAGTGATTACTGCAACGTGGCACTTTTATAAAGATTTAATTTTGAAAAATATTTTCCTATATTTTACGCTTTTTTTAAAGCTGTGATTATATACTTCACAGTTACTATCAGAGCCGGGCTTAGGAGAAGAGGGTTGCTCTGGAGAAGACAAACTTCATTCAGATTCCATTCGAGATGTGGAAGGGAGCACAGCCTGGCTGGTGACAAAAGCTCTGTAAGCCAGGGCAGCACAGGCTGAAGTGAGAAAAGAAATGCAACTCTCAGGGCGCCTGGGTGGCTCAGTTGGTTAAGCGTCTGACTCTTGATTTGGGCTCCGGTCATGGTCCCAGGGTCATGGGCTCAAGCTCTGCAGCAGCTCCACACTCAGCAGGGAGTCTGCTTGAGGTTCTCTCAACCTCCATACTCCCTCTCTGCCCCCGCCCCACCCCACTCACCTGTGCACTCATACTCTCCCTCTTTCTCTCAATCCATCAGTCAAGAAGGAAAGCAGAAAAAAAAAAATTAACTCTCAGAACTTCCAAATGCTTCATAAAATTCCTAAAGCTTACATTCAGAATGATGCCCAGTCTGCTAACGAACAAGTCAGGAAGTGTGTCAATAAATGTCAAAGAACTGGGGCTCCAACTACACATTTCCCACTGTGGCACCAGCACCATGCCCAGTGGCAAGAATGGAGACTTGAGAGGAAGGTGCCATCCATCATTCCATTCACAGAGGGCACTTCAGAAATAACTATTGTATTTAAATCACAATTAAAATTTTTGTTCCTTCACCACTCTTTAAAATAATCTTAAAAATAATACTTAACTGGAAAGCATCCAATTTCCCCAAGCTGTACACCAAGATAGGCTCACTATAAGGCCAAAGAAGAGTCATTTACCCCAGTAGAATACAAGAACCTTTAGGCCACTCAACCAAACAATGGGTACCTTTTCATTATGAAGTCTCCAGTATTCTCTCTGGCAGAAAAAAAGAGAGCTGCCGTCTCATAAAATGTCCCATCTTCAGATATTTGTAAAAAGTTCTATAATTTGTCCCATAGTCCACAGGTAACAATGTTTTCTAATTCTTACTAACAAACATGCACCCTGGAGATGAGCATGTTCTTAGAGACCAAGGAGAGAAAAGGACAGAGAAAGAAACCACTCTAGAATGCTCAACTGCACACCTGATGGTTTAGCCATTATTTCCCTAGACCAAACCCAGATGTGGGGAGACTATAGCTTGATATAAAGATAACCCAAATCAGGGCGACGGGGTGGCTTAGGCGGCTAAGTGTCCAACTACTGATTTTGGCTTAGGTCATGATCTCAGGGTCGTGAGATCAAGCCCCTACTTGAGATTCTCACCCTCTCCCTCTGACCCCTCCCCTGGTCCCTGCACACGTGTCCTCACATGCATGCTCTCTCTCTCAAAAAGAAGTAAAAATAAATTTTCAAAAAGATATCCTAGATCCCCATGGCTGCTACCTAACTCTCTCTAGAATCTGTGATATATCATGGTAAATCTTACTCATAATTAGGCAAGTTAGAAGAAACCAAGAGAATGAAAAGTAAGATTTCAGATAAAAATAATTTAAAGTAAGATGGATTTTGTTGACTATAGTCCATGGTCCTCTTTAAAAAGTCTAAGTATGGACTTGAGCATGTATGTACACTCACAGGAACATATACACTTACTTTTGTGTGAATTAATCTCTCCTCTTTCCCATCTAAAGCTACAGAGTAAATCCTCATGTGACCATTTCAAGAACTATTTTTTGCTACTAAATTTTGCCAACAATCTGCTCAGCATTCTAACAGATGTTTCTGTTTTCAAACCTCTGGGAACTTAAGCTGGGTCTGTTTTCTTTCCCCATGTTAAAAATAAAAGAAATGGCACAAATGTGGCCTAATACCCTAGAGAAGCTTTTCCCCACCCCACAACCCTCTATCTCCCTATTCATGTGACCTCCACGATCCCTTCTCAAATCTTTTCTTTTCCATTAGAGAAGATGTTTCCAATTATGGCCCATTAAGCTGCCAAGGATGACATCACTCAGTTTTTTGTTTTTATTTTGTTTTTTTTTGTTTTTATTTAAAGAAAATGCTACTGATTCCTAGTTACTTGGGGACCATCTGCAACAATTTAAGCCAACTAGTCTGCTGGACCTTATGAACCCACCATGTCACCGGCGGGGGGAGGGGAGGGTGGGACTTGTTCAAGATCCATGCTACCAACAGAACAATACCATTACACTAGGGGTTGGAGGGACAAGAGGATCTTGCTTTTATAGAATGATTGCTTTAAAATTATTTGTGACCCAACCTTACCTCAGTGACATCCATAACTTTGATGGCCGCCAGCTGACCTGTTTTAACATGTCGACCCTGAAAAACAGAAAAAAGAAGAAAATTGGCACCATTGTTTTTTCGTGATCATTAGAAAAGAATGGTTGAAGTTTCAATAAATCATTTCTTTTAATATCATTTCTTTTGTATTTTTTTCCCAAAGTAATGATGACATAGTCCCATGACCTCCAGTAGAACAACATGGGTTGTAATGCCAATGAACTCCACTTAATAAACAAAAGAAGTGGTAGAGCCAATGAGTTTTGATAAAGTATCAATTCTTTTCTTCTCAGGTTCAATTTACTTAACATTACCTCTCAACCTAAGCAACTTAAATAATATTTTCTTCTACACATCAACTTGATCACGTTTTCTTTCTTAACATTCTACATGAATGAAATGACCCAAAAAAGCCTCTTGATCTTTATTTTCAGAAATGGATAGTAGCCATTTTTCCCTAGTGTACTCCCAAGGCTCATTACTCGATTTTACAAAAAAGTTACCTGAGAGTCTTCTTTGAAGCTTTCCTGCAGTCCCAAGATAGGGAAGTTGGGAGGATAATTACCCAGAATAAGGAAGTGTGAAAGAGATAGGGATGATGCAGTGATAGTCTAACTCCTGACCTAGGACCTAAAACTCATTATTTATATCCCTGGGCATTTCAAACCAATGTCAGGTCAATCTCACACCCAGATGAACAGGACTAGTTTTAATTCCTGTCAGCTCTGTGTCCCTCCATCCACTCTTTGCAGTGCTCTGCTGGCCATTTCTCAGGTTGAGTAACACAGAGCTATCCAGATCTCCTGAGCTTGATGTACTTCAGGACTTTGTGGACAAGAGTCTTTTCTCAACAAATGTAAAACAGAAAGAACATCCCCATAGCTTCCAAGAGCCTGCCTCTCGTGTGGTCTCATGCTGAATAGTTATGAACTTTAGAACTTGAAACCTGAGGAAAGCTCTCCATTTAGTCTGGAAAGCTTACCCACGAACTCAAGTTACATCTAGGACAAAACAACTCCATGAAAATGACACTGTATTACAATTACATCTCAACTGTATGAGGTCATGGTGATATGGAGTCCTGCAATGGCCCAGGATTTCACGAGCAGAAACTACACAACAACGTAACATACAGGTAACCAGGACAAATAAAATCCACAGGCCAGGAATCTCATTGCAACTCTCACCCACCCACAGACACCACCGCCCCCGTCCCAAAGTGAATTACCTTCCTGGTCTTCAAAAGTGCTTCCATGCAAGTAGGGGCACCACCTCCCACAACACACACACCTGCAGTTTAGACAGTCTCAAATTCTGCTTCTGAGGTAAGCAGGCTTGTCCCACATTGGTCCATAGCCCAAGGAACTGCCTCCTGCCCTGTCAGCTATTTCCCAGCTACCATTCCACACGCATGCTTTTCCATCAGTCAGTCTCCGCAGATATGAACTGTCCTCTCAACTGTGGCTTCAGTACTCCATCACCACACCATCCCCAACATCGTCACACAGCCTGCTGAACAATCTGGCACCCTTCCTGTATTCACAGCTGAGTAATCCACAGTCCTGCAAGAAAATGCTGCCCTGTATCTATGTTCCCATACAGTGCACAAAATGATCTAAGAAGCCATTCGACCTCTACAGAAGCTCCACCCCAGAGATGCAGAGTAGAACACAACTATGTATCACGAAAGTGGTAATTTATGAACATTATATGGTCTCCCATATCTCTGGTTCTACTGCCATTTTTTTTTACTACCTGTCTGTCCAAGACTTAGTATCTTTTGATAATATGCATTTCTGAATCACTTATTTAAAATTTTTGCCTATGTGTGTTTTGGATCTGTAACCTCAGCCTTTTTGGAAACTGAGCTGTCCATGTCATGGGCACTGGCAGGATCCTAAAGCTAAAGGACAGTGACACAGAGCATGGACTCCAGCATCAACACTGTATCCACACTTAGTGTCCCCTTACCTGTATAAGGTAACATAACAATGCCTCAACCTCCTGTCTAAGACAGGAACAATGGTGCCCACTTCACATGTTTATCATGAAAAATAACAAAGATGCAAAGAACAGTGTAGTACACATGAGTGGTAAATAAAATAATAAATATGGTAATAGAATACAACTGGACTTTGCTTCCCTAAATGGAAGACAGAAAATTAATTTATTAGCATAGTATCAAAAAAACTCCCATGACCGACTGGTTAACACAATCATGAAGCCAAATTATGATTTCCTTAAATCCAAGAACAAAGAGGAAAACTTAAGGGAACAAAATATTAAGTAACCTTCTGGTGCTTTCTATATAAGGGACACAAAGATCATCTATCTCCTTAGCACCCAGGAAGCCCTCAAAACTGGAAACACATACCTGATTACTCTTCCTGCAGTGGGGTTATTTCCAAATTACTAAAGCAAATTTCTTGCTGAAAGAATCAAAGGATGACAGAAAATGTCACAAGAATTGCCCCCCAGCTTTTGTTCTTTAAAGAGGTAAACAGCACTGTGCTGGGAATGTGTTAGGTGAGTGTGGGGGAGGGGAAGGTCTTCTGAGTACCTGATAATTTAGGATCCTTACAGATGAAGAAAATCCATGGGCCTATGGAAAAAAAAAAAACCACTCCAGATATTTATGTAATGTAGAAGTATTTCCCTCTGTGCCTGAACTCAAGACCACAGGAGTATTCTCAGAACTTAGGGTTTGACAGTCGCATAAAAGCTTAGAGTTGTGGATTCATTCAGTACTTGCTTTACACAGAACGTGAGTTTCCCTTACTAAGGGATTAGAGAATCAGGACCTGACAACTAATCAGTTATTTTTGTGTCCAGAGGGTGGACCATGCAAAGGTACTAGCCTTCATTAACGCATGCCAGATCTTCCAAAATTAGGTCCATTTTAAATTTAAATTTAAGTTTAAATCAGGAAAACAAAGAATTCTGTCTCCCTCCTTTATAAGAAATAAGACAGCATACTGAAAGAAATGAATTTGGGATTCTGGCAGAGTTAGGCTTTCATTTCTCTGCTACCACTTCATTACTGTAAATTTCCTTGAGAAAGCTTCCTAGGATTATTGTAGGATTCCAATGTTCTTTTTAGAATAGGCAAGCTAGAAATAAAATGCATAAAGTACATGAAGCTCTGGCCATCATATCTGGCATATAATGGGCTCTAAGATAAGAGATCCACTCCCACCAGAGGCCTATGCTAATGCTTTCTCTTTAATTCCCCTTGCAACTACCATAACCCCAGTCAATTTAAGCCCATTTCTCATTTTCAAAGGGCATGGCCAATAGGGGAAAAGGCAGTAGGATACTAAAGTAATGTACTTCCCTAATTATTTTTTAAAAAGAAACAAAAAGAAAACCTCCAAATCAGAAACAGAAATAATAATCTATCTATTCAGATGCATCATCTTTGCAAAAAAGAACCAAAATGGCGAGCAAACAGACTGAGGAGAAAAACTACAACTGGGACTGAAATGCACCAAACATCTATATGCGTGTAATTGTGCGCAAAGGAGGTCATATGAAGAGTGGTTGAGAGGATATAAGTCTGTCTGTAATTTACTCAACACTACCCCAGAGAGAACATATTAAAGGTTCCTCTCGGGGTGGGTTATAAGCTTAAGTCTACAAAAGCCAGGTGTCCCCACCCATCAGGGAGGCCCTGCCCACGCTCCCATGGCACACTTTAGAGCTGTAACGAATGGCCCTCAGCAGCACATGAAGAGAAAATACACATAATCATAACCAACTGCATTGTGCTAGGGACTCAAGGATATAAGCAAAGGCATGATTTCACTGAAGTCTGAGGCTACACATCTAGACTCTATCATTCCACTCTGACCTCTACACCATCTCTTAAAGGCTGCTTCATGCAGTTTGCTCCCTACAGATGACCAATATGACCACTTTCCTTAGCCAGAGTCTGAATCCAGCATGCTGTGTCACTGAAATGCCTACCCTGTGCATGGAGAGGTTTGCAAATTAATATTAATAGGACCTTTCTTTCTACCGTATCATCCACTTTCAGAACATGCCAGTATATGATTTGGTCAGCACTAAATACACATAGCTAACATCCATTTATGAACTTGATTCTCTTGGCCTATTGCCTCATTTCTTGGACACAGTGTCCCATCCAGTGTTATAAAATGCCAGAAGGGAGAGTCTAAAGGCCCCTGGCTTTTTATATGAGGTACCATGTGAACATTAAGGCACTTATAAGTCATCAAATGAGGAAAACCCCCAAATACCATTCATAACTAGGACACCTAGACATTTTTTTGAAGGCCAGCAAAACAGGCCATTATCCTATTCTACAGATGAAGAATGCTGAGGTGAATGTTATTAAGTTATCTGCCCATGTATGATGGCAGCAGGATTGTATTTCCACAATGATTTATAAAATGCAAGGGATGAACTCCTACCATTTCTATCAACTTGTCAAATTCCTGCTTTGAGGTCCTTTTTTTTTTTCCAAAGAAATAGCTTAAATTATTTCCCCTCAATGCCCTTAAAGGGTTACCAAGATTTGGAATTAAAATCATTGCTGCAATAAATATTATTTGACACAAAGTCAGATTGGCCCACACTAACCAGAATCGTCCCCTTTAGTAAAAGACCTTTGCAACATTTGATTTTTGGTTTTTAAATGGGGGAAATGAATGTTTCTTTTTTAGAAAGGAAAACTCAAACTATTCTTGGCAGATGTCCAAGCTAAGGAGAAGCCTAATTTCTAACTCTCCTTCATGTTTCTAATAGAGTCAGAACTGACACCTTGCATCTACAAATATGCATTACATTTATGTACATGTTATAAGAGAAAACACACACACACACACACACACAAACATGGTTTTAAAATGCAAGGCACTGTGGCAGCCTGTCTATCTGCCTTTAAAAGCCTGTCCCTAATCCACAAAGAGGAGCCTAGTGGCAGAAGAAACAACATTCACGGGAAGCTTTTAAATCCCAAGAGGAAAAAGAAGGCAAATCACCAACTACCAGGTAACTAACTCATGTTACATAATATT